CCGTAACTCGGGAAACCGACTCGGAAATCGAGTTCGTTGGACAAATCGAACGCGGCATTAGCCTCAGTTTCCCCTGCTATGGTGCTTAGCAGGTCCAATCACGTCCTGGACCTATCTTTACTGGGTGCACTGAGATGAAATTGATATTGATCTTCTGGTTTTATGTTGGGTAAGACGGAGAACAAACACATTTCCTAAAATGTCAGACTTTTAATCTCACCACAAGAAAGAGAAAGACGAGCACATTTTCAAAGCCAAAGTAAGACAGAGACTTGATTGACATTTACAGGACCTAAGGGCTGCGGAGTAAAAACAATGTTCCACATTTGCCCTTGACTTTATCAAAGCAGCGTACCTGTGGAGAGAACGGACCATGATAACAGCTGAAACTGGATCTCTGCAACATGCTGTGCTGAGGTTGACCCTGTGAAAGAACCTTTATCATATTTACTGGGGTCTGTTCTTTTTATTCAAGGGCAAAAAGTTTATTGTGGAGGGAAAGCAGAGAAAAGAACAATTCAGTTTTTTGCTTATATTGCTTTACTAACAATAGTGCTATGAATGCAAGGATTATTGTGATGGTGTTCTATATATTTATAGCCTGTTTTTTGGTTGGTATTGTTGGTATTATGTTACAGGTGCAGTATTAACAGTTCCACTCACTCCGACCCTCAAAGCCAAACTGTTGTTTCAATGATTGTGACAGCATGTTTTCCATATTAAGTTTATATGTTTCCACCTAGGACCAATGTCCTAACTCAGTGCTGTGTGCTGCTGAGGTATTGCAAGTGGGACACAGGCTGAGCTATGAAAAATTCCATGTAGCATATTCATCAAAATATTCCTTGCTCTGGAAAAAACGTACATCTATGCACCACTGCTTTCCTAGTGTGTAACCAAGGCGGCAAAAGTAGCGTAGCAGTAACGCACTATAAACGTTAAGGGCCATTTCAGACCAAATCATCCTCTGCGGCAAAAACACCCCTCCTCCTATTCATTTTAATTGGGGTAGTGCGTTTAAGGCTGGGGTGGTGGAGGCCGCAGGGGAGGCTGAGGGAAAAGAGCAGTGGCAGAGAAGTTCAAGCAGAATCTACTTTTGGAGAAGCGCAACCCAATGTCCTGCTGTGTTGGCCAATCCGGTGATCCAACCGGTCAAACCGCTGTCCGCATGAACTATGACAAAACAAACCAAACTATAATACACTCCTAATTGTATTTCTTTCGCGTACCCAGTTTCAGCATCTGGCTTACAGTCTATGCTGCAAAATAGCCATACCAAGAAGTTTCCTTTGGTTTGTGTCCATTAGTTTGAGTGAGAGAGACAGCCAGTAAATCAGAGAAATGACTCTTCTACCATGACAACATGAGTTGGAGGTTTTGCTGAATTTTTAAGGGGCCTCAAGCCTCCAAAGTTTGGAAAGCTCTGTCCTTATACTGAATTAAACGGCTTTAGTAATCCTTCCTCCCCTTTTAAAAACTGCAGCAGTAATGGATTCTCTGTGTTGGGGCTTATACTGCCAGGAGGAGAGCACTACCTATACCAAGTATAATTCTGGACTATCACAATTTGGTCCAGTGACCAGTAATAATTGTATTAACCAAGGTAATTGCCCACTCACATGCACAAAGGTAGCCTCTTTCATAGTAATGGGCTGCCAACTAGAAACATGATTTCCAGTTCTCTTAATACATACATGCAGTTTGCAGACCAACTCCCTAGTTCAACTTAATAATAATAATAAAATGGACTGCATTTATACGATGCCTTTATTTACTTTACAATTTGTCTCTTCACCCATACATACACACCCACTGATGGCCATGGAGCTACCATACAAGGCTCTAGCCTAACCATAGGGAGCAATGTGGGGTTGTTCGGGACACTTTGCGATCATCTTGCGTTGTTGGACTTGGATGTAGTGAATGTGTTCCGAGATCTCAGGAATTACTGTGGTGTGTACAGTGTTGTCATAACTGATAGAAATGATGGACAAAACAAGTAAAAGTTTATTACTGTGATTAGACAAGTCCCAGACCTGTGTATGCAGAAGATTCAGAATTATGAACTGATTTGGTGTGTGGGACTTGTGTAGGTTTGGATAGAACCTTTAAATCTCTATAACCTACTGCATTGGTTTAACAGCCCAAACTTGATTCAAGATCAGTCTTTAACCCAAACTTTTTGTTCAGTATTCTAACCCTGTATCTACGCTCCATGTGTTCATACTGTTTACAAGTCACCCTTTAATTCCTGTTGAATTTAGAGACTTTTGGTCAGACAGAATAAAAAAACTGAAAATAGTTTTTCTCTGTGTGTCTGCAGGGTGTCATGGGATAGCTCTGGAGGACTCCACATCCTTCATCCCAGAGCGTTTGACCGAGGCCAGTACAAGTGCACAGCCGCCAATGCTTATGGCTTAGACTCAGAGACGTTTCAGCTACTGGTGGCAGGTGTGTCCATTGTTTTAGTGTCATTATTATGCACATCATTTATAATTACAATTTTTAATAGTCACCATAATACAATTTAAATAAATCTAAAATAAAATAAAATAAATAAGGGTAAACATGAAATCTGATTGGCCACTCATTATTCTTACCTCTTCCACTGACAATGTCTTTTAGAGTTGGGCTCTGTTTTGAAGCTGATATCATATAAAACTAGATGATCCAACACATCCATTGGTGCCAACCATGTCATGCTAGCATTTTAGGACAGGGACTAAATAACACTCCAAACTTTCGTGATGGAAAAACTGGCATTTTCTATTTTCAAAGGGATCCTTTAACCTCTGACCTCAAGATATCTGAATGAAACCCCATGCAGTTTTTGGGCAATTTTTGCCCAGTGTAATTAAATATGTCTGCATGCTGGGGTCCATTAACAGTGTTGGAATTGCCTAAATTTGGAATGACTGGAAAGCTGAGACACATACTTGCTCCACGAATTTCAGAGATTGCATGCCAGCCGTGAACAGCCCAGTTGGTTAACATGGGCACTGGAAGGAAGCGTGCAGCATTTGGCGGCAAACCTCCATACAGCTCTCCATGCGCCAGGAGACATGAGAGAGCAAGCACCACCCCAACAAAACACTCGCACTACGGTGTGTGTGTGACAGAAAAATAAATCATACCAGTTCAACATCTTACGATATGAGTGCAAAGTATTGTTCTTGCAAGATCACAAGATCATCCATCTTTTAGGCTTCAATCTACGTGTTTGTGGCCAGTACAGTGGTAGCTGAACAATCAGCATCCTGAGGAGGTACTAGCAGCTACAGTTCAGTCACTTTACATATAGATGGCAAGCAGGGAAATAAAGTAATGAATCAATGAATAAAAAACAGGACAAGTAAAGCAGGCAATAAATATGAACTAGAACCTTTAAGATTAACATTTAAGATGATCAGCAGGTATAATGTTTACCCCAGTTACCATCTTAGCACTAAACAAAGTACAGCTGAGGCTGAGGCTGATGGGAATGCCGTTAGTTTTGCAGGTATTTAGCCATAAACCAAAGTACTGGACAACTTGACAGTCCATCCAAAAGTTTTTTAAATATAAAGTATTTTAAAGTAGTGGAATGCCATTTCTGCCATCACATTGCTAATGTGGCAAAAGAATATACACATTCACAGCTTGTTTGGGTTTAATATAAGCTTAATTTTAGATGATAGCTCAATTTTGACCACTATGATTCTGAAAATTTAATTTTTCATCTCAATACTGCAACAAACTTAAAGGCTAAACTACAGTATGTGGTTCCTTCCTTCTATCACTGTATATACGTGTTTCCAAGATGTTCTTTATTATATAACAAGGATTAGCATCAGTAACTTTCTAAAATAAAAAACTAAAATATATGCACAAGCAAGATTTCTGCAAAAGGGATGATTTATTACTTCACGAGTGAGTGATACTCTTTCTCTGTGTGGGAAACTTCAGAGCCACCAGCCATCGCCGTGTCATGGAGGAATGTTTCAGACAGTGGGCTGGTGTTTGGCCACAGCTTGTGGGCCGTGGTCGGGGGACGAGTCGACGTTCGCCAGGGCAGCAACCTCACTCTGGACTGCCCCGTCACTGGTAGGTCACAGCACTGCATGCCACAAAGAATGTTTCTTTTAAAGGGCCAGTTCATGGAAATTAGAAGAATAATACTTTCTCATTGTATGTACTGGAATGAATTACATTTATGTCTTCTATCTAGAGTACTTTAAAATGTGCCTCTTACTCACCCCTACACTCAAACGAGCCAGCCAGCAACATGCAAGGTGCTTGCCCAAATATCAGGAGCAATTTAGGGGTTCAGTGTCAAGGACATCATATATGATATCAATATTTCCACTCAGGTTTTAAAGTAGAGGCCTAGGCTACTTTATGCAAATCAGGGGTGTTCAGCAGCGCTACTCGCCACTTCTGGAAACTCCTGAAAAACTTTTAAACTACCGCCTTCATATCGCCCAGCTCACCT